CAGAGAGAAGGGAAAGACCCCCTTCTGAGTGTGTGGGAAGTGCCAGCCACTTCAGAACCAAGGTCAGTGTCATCAGATCCAGCACAGATCAGACAATTTCAGTACTGGGGAGACTGCTGGTGGTGCTGGGCCACACAGCGACCCTAGCCCTGGTCCGCCAGATTCAAGAACACCTGTGTTTTTTTCTAGTCTCACCATTCTCCTTCCAATTTCCAGCACCTGTCTGGTAGGCAGGGTAAGTGCTGTCACCCCCATTCTACAGATGGAGTGAGGTTCTGAAAGATAAAACAAGTTGTCCAAGTTAAACAGCTACTAAGCTGCCAAAATGAATATGGTCCAAGGCTTGCAATTCCACATTCACTTTGCTTCCCATCAATCTATCTAGTTTTTGAATTAAAAAAAAAAAAAAACCTGGAAAAAAATGACTATTTGCAATTTCAATTGCATTTATTTGCTCAGGAGCTGTTTAGCTTAGAACTTAGTAATTCAATACTAAATTATTTCAGTAAGTCTATTGTTTCTGGACTTGCAAAACACGTTTTTCCTGAGACAGGTTCTGGGGTGCAGTCAGTTAAGCTGTGGCTTGGGACACCATCATCGCGTATCAGAATGCCTGGTGTGAATCCTGGTGACACGCTGCTTCTGATCCAGCTTCCTGCCAGTGCACCTGGGAGGTAGCAGACGATGGCCCAAGCACGTGGACTCCTGCCATCCATGTGGGAGAAATGGATGGCATTCCTGGTTCCTGGCGTCAGTCCGGACAGGCATTTGGGGAGTGAACCAGCAGAGGGAAGATCTCAGCCTCTCTGCTTTTCAAATGAATGAATTTTTGGAAAAATGTTTCTCCTGGGGCAGGCGGCCGGCACACGGTACAGATGCCACCTGGGATCTCTGCATCGCCGACCGGAGCGCCTGGCTCACGTCCTGGCCCCCTCACTCCAGGCCCAGCTTTCTGCGATGTGCATCCTGCTGATGAGGTCCTTGGGTCCTTGCGACTCACTTGGAAAACCTGGACTGAGTTCTAGACGCCTGGCTTTGGCCTGCTCAGGCCTGGCTGTTGAGGCACTGGGGGAGTAAACCAGTGGATGGAAGCAAGCAGGCCCTCTCTCTCTCTGCTTTTCAAATAAATAAAATCAATTAATCAATAAAGAGAAAAAGAATCCTGTCATTAGGATGCTTTCTCTGTCTTTGCCTTTCAAATAAAATGAAAATAAATAAAAGAAGAAGAAATCATGAGCTTAAAAAAGGCTTTTTCTGGCCGGCACCGTGGCTCACTAGGCTAATCCTCCGCCTTGCGGCACCAGCACACCGGGTTCTAGTCCCGGTCGGGGCGCCGGATTCTGTCCTGGTTGCCCCTCTTCCAGTCCAGCTCTCTGCTGTGGGCCGGGAAGGCAGTGGAGGATGGCCCAAGTGCTTGGGCCCTGCACCCCATGGGAGACCAGGAGAAGCACCTGACTCCTGCCTTTGGATCAGCGCGGTGCGCCGGCTGCAGCGCGCCAGCCGCAGCAGCCATTGGAGGGTGAACCAACGCAAAGGAAACCTTTCTCTCTCTGTCTCTCTCTCTCACTGTCCACTCTGCCTGTCAAAAAAAAAAAAAAGGCTTTCTCTGAAGTGAAGATTACATGTGGTGAAGTACACACATCTTAAGGGCATAGCCTGATGCATTTTTGCATATGCATATACCCACACAACCACTGCCCAGATCAAGTGTTTGTGGACTTTTTTTTAAAGATTTATTTATTTGAAAGACAGAGAAAGGTAGAGAGAGAAAGAGAGGGAGAGGGAGAGAGAGAGAGAGGTCTTCCATCTGCTGGTTCACTCCCCAAATGGCTACAATGGCCAGAGCTGAGCTGATCCAAAATCAGGAGCCAGGAGCATCTTCCAGGTCTCCCACATGGGTGCAGGGGCCCAAGGAGTTGGGCCATCTTCCGCTGCTTTCCCAGGTGCATTAGCAGGGAGCTAAATTGGAAGCGGAGCAGCCAGGACTTGAACGGGTGCCCATTTGGGATGCCGGCGCTTCAGGCCGGGGCTTTAACCCACTGCGCCATAGTGCTGGCCCCATGGGCATTTTAATAAGCTACACTTGGGGCCGGAGCTGTGGCGTAGTGGGTAAAGCCACTGCCTGCAGTGCTGGCATACTAGGTGGGCGCTAGTTCGCATCCTGGCTGTTCCACTTCTGATCTTTAGGTTCACCTTTCCCACTTTCAGCATGAAAAGGCTTTCTGCAAAACAGTCTTCCAGAGGTTCTCTTGAGTTCTAATGTTGTTATTAAATAGTGACTGGGGCCGGTGCTGTGGCGCAGTGGGTTAAAGCCCTGGCCTGAAGCACTGGCATCCCATATGGGTGCTGGTTCTAGTCCTGGCTGCTCCTCTTCCTATCCAGCTCTCTGCTGTGGCCTGGGAAAGCAGTAGAAGATGGCCCAAGTCCTTAGGCCCCTGAACCCACATGAGAGACCTGGAAGAAGCTCCTGGCTCCTGGTTTCAGATCAGCGCAGCTCCAGCTGTTGTGGACACTTGGGGAGTGAACCAGCAGATGGAAGACCACTCTCTCTGCCTCTCCTTTCCTCTCTGTGTAACTCTGACTTTCAAATAAATACACCTTTAAAAATAAATAGGCTGGCACCATGGCTCAATAGGCTAATCCTTTGCCTGAGGTGCCGGCACCCTGGGTTCTAGTCCCGTTTGGGCACTGGATTCTGTCCCGGTTGCCCCTCTTCCAGTCCAGCTCTCTGCTGTGGCCCGGGAAGGCAGTGGAGGATGGCACAGGTGCTTGGGCCCTGCACCCACATGGGAGACCAGGAGGAAGCACCTGGCTCCTGGCTTCGGATCAGCGCAGCGCACCGGCCACAATGCGCTGGCCGTAGGGGCCACTTGGGGGGTGAACCAACGGAAAAAGGAAGACCTTGCTCTCTCTCTGTCTGTCTGTCTCCCTCACTGCCTAACTCTGCCTGTCAATAAATAAATAAGTAAATAAATAAGCTACACTATTAATAGGAAGCCCAGGTACAAGGCAGGGGAATCCTGACATCACATATTTCTCCAAAGAGGTTTTCATGACACAAGTGAGCCACGACTGTGCAGTCCTTGCTCCGCCTCCTCCACAGCTGTCTAGAGCAGCAGCGGCACGTCTCGGTGCCAGGAGCCCCTCACGGTCAATCCACGCCTTCCCTTGGGGGCCCTCGGCCCTCGGCCTGCACAACAAAAACTTCCTTCACTGTGGGATGTGCGTGAGGTTAAAGGCATAAAAGAGCCCCTCCTCGTCCCCTGAAAAAGAGGGTTCTCACTTGCACAAGTGCCCCTCCTGCTTCCCTTGGTTCCCCCCGCCAGGTCGTGACGCAGACAGGGAGTCCTTGCGAGGGCCAATGCTGCACCATCTGGACTTCCCAGGCCCCAGAATCAGGAGCTGGACAAATCTCCCTCTCCCTGTGAATGCTTTGTTACAGTAACACAGACAGACTGAGGCAGTCCCAGGCGAGGAGGAAGTAAGGACAAGGCATCACCCCGAGCCCGAGGAGGACAGTGGCAGCAATCAGAACACGTCCCCAGGGAATTCAACCCACAGTTCCCAAATGCATGTGATGTGCCAGGCACTGCCCTGGCACCTGTGGGCTACACCTCGCCAAGCACAGCCTCCATGGCACTCAGGTGGGCCGGCGCCGTGGCTCACTAGGCTAATCCTCCTCCTGCAGCGCTGGCACCCCAGGTTCTAGTCCCGGTCGGGGCACCAGATTCTGTCCCGGTTGCCCCTCTTCCAGGCCAGCTCTCTGCTGTGGCCAGGGAGTGCAGTGGAGGATGGCCCAAGTGCTTGGGCCCTGCACCCCATGGGAGACCAGGAGAAGCACCTGGCTCCTGGCTCCTGCCATCGGATCAGCGCGGTGCGCCGGCCGCAGCCGCCATTGGAGGGTGAACCAACGGTAAAGGAAGACCTTTCTCTCTGTCTGTCCTCCCAAAAAAAAAAAAAAAAAAAAAGCACAGGTGATCTCAGCAGTGCCGAGAGGCTCCGCTGCAGCCCTGGGAGCCTCCCTTCTCGTCCTCAACGATGGATCCTAAGCCGGCACCTGGCACATCCTCAGCGAGCAGCAGCAGCAGTGTGGGCGTCCCTAGGGCGGCTCTTCCACTCGCAGCACAGTGGACTCCACACCTGCGGGGCTTCATCCCTTCATCCCAGCCCAAATCCCGACTCTGCACACACCAGCCAGGAGTCCTACAATGCAATCTGCCTGTGACGCTGTCCACTGGGTGCTAGAGTCGGATGCCCCAGGACTGCCCCACTTGACCACACAGCTGAATGTCGGAGTCTCCCACCACTCCCTCCTCTGGTTTGAGAATTTGCTAGAATAAAGGCACTTTGTTGCCTATTACCAGCTTATTATAAAGGATATGACTCAGGGAGAGATGGATTAAAGACACACAGGGCAAGGCACCAAAGGGGAGGGACGGAGCTTCGGTGCCCTCAGCTGGGAGACAAACCCGCTGGCGCCTCCATGTGGTCGTCACGGCAGCTCTCCCAACCCTGCTGTTCAGGGTTTTCATGGTGGCACTGCCTGGGCACAACCGATCAGACTCAATCCCCAGCCTCTCCCCACTACCCGGAGGTGGGGTGGGGACAGCTGAAGACGGAAGCTCCAGGGCTCTCATCATTCGGTTACTGCTCTGACCTGTCCTGAAGCCACACAGGGGCTCATCAAATGTCACTCAACAGCACAAGCTCAGGGGAGGCTGAAAGGGACTCATGACCCCATTCGCTAGGAAATGCCCAGGGGTTTCAGCAGCTCTGGGCCAGGACGCAGGGATGAACAGCAAACACAACTTCCTTACTGTAACAGCACCGCAGGGGAATATCTCGATATTGTTTGGCAATGAATTTCACAGGGAGTAAGAGGAAACTGAGAGTCATTTCCACTTGCTGGGGGTGAGGTCGGGGGGGCGTCCTATCTCATTGCAAGCCCAAGGCTCGGAGACCCGAGGCATCCCTAACTGTGGAGCCCCAACAGCACTCACAGGTTTCTGGAGCCGTCCAGCGACGTACAAGTTATTCCAGTTGAGGAGGTCCTCGACCAGGACGCTTGTGCTGATAACGCCGTATTTGATAAGCTGGAAGAGGAAAGGAACGGCATGAAAGAGAGCAACACAGCAGGCTGAAGCTTACGCAAGGATGAAACCCAAGGAAACAGGGGAGATGCGTGACCAAAATGTTCGCCTGCCGCATGTGCATCTCCACCAGAACCTTTCAGGTTCGGTGTCCAAGACTCACCCGTCCTTCGGTGCGTGAGCTGACGACTAATCTGACTGAGGTCTACGAAACAGTCCTGGCAGCATGGCCCTTAGACACCATCTAGGTCTGGTCTTTGATGGATCAGAAACCAAACACCAGGTCCATCCCAGCCTGAGAAGTGAGAATTGAGCTCACGCTCCTTGTATGAGAAGTAGGCGACCCAAGGCCCACAGAGAATCCCTAAGAATCACAACCACGTTCCAGAATTCCCGTCCTTCTCCCGATGCCTGTTTCATCACCAAGGACAAGACATGTTCCGGAATTACAAGTTCCTACTGAGGGCCGGCGCTGTGGCACAGCACGTTAAGCCTCTTCCTATGGTGCCGGCATCCCACATGGGTGCTGGTTCGTGTCCTGGCTGCTCCTCTTCTGATCCAGCTCTCTGCTTATGGCTTGGGATAGCAGTGGAAGACGGCCCAAGTGCTTGGGCCCCTGCACCCACGCTGGAGACCCTGAAGAAGCTCCTGGCTCCCGGCTTCAGATCAGCCCAGCTCTGGCCCTTGTGGCCATTTGGGGAGTGAACCAGCGGATGGAACATCTCTCTGTCTCTCCCTCTCTCTGCCTGTAACTCTACCTCTCAAAACAATAAATAAATCTTTTTTTAAAAAAAAGTTCCTACTGACATCCTTTCTATAGTAAACGTCTCTCCTGCTACTGACATTTCAAAAGCTTTTATAACTACAAAGCAAGATCCAAAAACAAAACCTCTTTATCAGCACTAACCACATGGAATTGGGGGTAAACCCTGAGCGCAGGACTCTCAGGTTACAAAGCCCCGTCTGTGTCAACAGATCTCTTCAGACCCGCTCTGCCAAGCTCCAGGATCCAAACACCTTCCCAGGCTGCAAATACCTAAAAAGCAGCCAAAGAATTTCCATGAAAAAGCACAGTCCCTTTGATATATAATTATGCCCAAACATTTGGTTACTGGAGCTTGTAATATTGTCTGAAAACTATTAATTAGAGATAGGCTCAGCCTAATACGAATGACGGAGGAAGGCAGAACACAGCGGGGTGCCCTGCGTGACTACAGGGAGTGCACTGCTGTGCCCAGCAGCTGCCCCCGGCCTCAGCACCGCACAATGCTCTTCTGCTGCGGGGAGGGAAAGGAGACCCCACGGGCCTGGAAGCGGAGGGGAGCGGCACCAAGCAGCCTCAACCTTGGAGAAATCCTTTACTCTCCCTCAACTTCAGTTTCCTCATTTGCAGAACGTAGCTGGCAGCAGGCAAGGGCCTCAAAGCCGAAAAGCAAATCCGTGGCCCTAAGGGCCTGTGGACATCGCCCACCACAGCGCTCACTGCCCAGCCAGGTTCAGACAGGTCTTCAGCTCCCTCTCTGGTCAGAAGTCCAAACTCCTGCCCTTCAAGGTGTGGCCCTCTGACTGGCAGCAGAGGGAGCCTGTTCAAAACTGCAGAACCTCAGGTTCCATCTCGGGCCAGCTGAGTCACCATCTGCAGCCCCACCAGACCCCCAGGTGACCCGTATGCTGGTCAGTCTGACGGCCCTAAACACTCAGCAGACGAAACCCACTGTCAGCCCTGGCCGGGCTCATCCCCAGGACGCATCTGATCGACACCGGCAGTGGTCCCCACAGGGACCCTGGCTCGTTCTTGGCATCCCTCTTGGGGCCTGGGGTGCTTCCTGTGAACGACAGCTCGGCAGGGCTCCCGCTGTAAGAAAACCCGAGTGTCTCAGCTGCTCGCCAGTATCCCTCCCCGTCAAGTCCCAGCCAACTGGCAGTCAGAGGTCCTCCCCCATCACTCAGCATCAAATCCCCTGCACTGCACCATATTTCTGGAGATGAGGATAACTCTCAGCTGCCGTTTCATTCCCTCCACCACATGCCTGCAAAGCCAGGAGCTAGATCTCCCATCCACATCTCCCACATGGGTGGCAGGGATCCAACCACCCACACATTACCACCTGCTGCCTCCCAGGGTGCATAGCAGCAGGGAGTCGGAGCTGGGAGAGCAGCTGAGATTCAACCAGGCATTTCGAGTCTGGGGCGTCAGTGTTCCAGGGGGTACCTCAACCACTATGCCGAACAACTGCAACTGCACCCCCAACAGGACCGTAATGCCACAGCAAAACTAGGCAACCACCTGACCAAAGGCAAAAAAAAATATCAGTCACATCTGACCACGTTCTCACCCTGCAATCAGAGTCAAGGACATTGTCTGATTGCAAGGACACAGGCACGAGTGCGAACCGGTACTCCAAGAACAAAGGGTGGCAACCACTCCAGCGAAGACACAGGCCTGCAGTCACGTACCCTACCGTCACACGTGATGAGGGGGTTGTAGTAAACCCCAGCTCCGTAGTTAGTCTGGATCGAGGAGATGATCCGGGGCCCCAGCACCTTCAGGAAGGAGTAGTGGCTCCTGTTTTTCTTCAGGTTCTTCGAATGCCACGCCACAGGGTCATCCACTGTAAACACAAAGTCCAGCATGGCGTTCTGCGAGGTGAAGAGGAGCAAGGTTTCAGTACCGACTCCTGCAAAGGAAGTCGGACCGGCCAGAAAGTTCCGGAACACTGTATCCCTGTGATTAATACGCCTGGGGTTGTCATCCGAAACGTAAGCAAGCCTCTGGCATGGATCCGAGCTCTGTTATCATAAACACAAATAATAACTGGCATTGCTGTACCAGCAGGCTTGTGAACACACTTTACATGTAGCACAGCCAGCAGCTGGATCCTCAAAGCAACCCCACAAGACAGGAATGACTTCATCCAGTTTACCAGAAAGCATCCAGGGCCCAGGGCAAGCTCTCTGCCCAAGGGCAGTCGGCGAGCAGCAGAACTAGGCGGTATGGCTGCCGAAGCACCGGCTGCACTGTCCCATGGCTGAATGTGCTCCACTCTCCTTCCAGATCAGATTAGCAGCCTATGGACAAAACCCTCTCAAGCACAACACAAAGCGAAACGTTCCTTGAACTCTCCCATCCGCTCTCCACTCACCGCGGACCCTTAATGAGCTCCGACACCCCCAGAACGGAGGCAAAGTGCTCAAAGGCTACCGGGAGAATAAACTGTCGCTAAGTGGACTTGACAGAGGAACACAGAATGGACTAACTTCATCCAAGATGGTGGGGTGAGCAGGAGAAATCAGCCTAGAGATGACAAACATGAATCTTTTTTTAACAAGGTTATTTATTTATTTGAGAGGCACAGTTACACACACAAAAAGAGAGAGAGAGAGGGAGGGAGAGAGATCAATTTTCCATCCACTGGTTCACTCCCCAAACGGCTGTAATGGCCAGAGCTGGGCCGATCCAAAGTCAGGAGCCAGGAGCTTCTTCCAGGTCTCCCACACTGGTGCAGGGGCCCAAGGACTTGGACCGTCCTCTACTGCTTTCCCAGGCCATTGCAGAGAGCTGGATCGGAAGTGGAGCAGCCAGGACTAGAACCGGCGCCCATACGGGATGCCAGTGCTTCAGGCCAGGACATTAACCTGCTGTGCCATAACGCCAGGCCCCACAACAGGAATCTTAAAGAACATGTGAGAGCTAAGCAGGCGAGCTGGGAGTACCGGGGGCAGCAGGGAGGAGAGAACCACATCAGAGGTGGGTGGAAGAGCCCGGCCTGTTCCAGGACGTGCCATTTCCCACAGCGGGAACAGAACACGGCTCCTGTGCTGGGAGATGAGGCCAGAGAGGGAGGCTGTGGGCCATGCTGGCACGCCTTCCTGCAGGTGAGGTGCTGATGGGTGGAAGGAGACACTGAGGCTGCGCAAACCGCGACAGGAAGCCTCTGCAAGCTTCCAGTTAGGAAAGGAAAGGGTTTTAGTTGATTTTGAGACAGACGTGGATGTTAGAATCTACAAGACTTGTTAACTTTCATGGAGCAAGTCAGAGAGATGGGGAGGGGAGAAAGGATCTTTTATTGGAGAGAATTCCAGGTCTGCTCAAAGCAAAACCTTCATGGAAAAACAAAGAGGTGGCTACCAGCCTGCGACGAGAGTCCCACAGTGTGACCCGTGCAGGGAGCATGGATAAACATGTTTTAAAAATGTGTGACTATGGGGGCAGCCACCTGCAGTTTCGGAATCCGTACAGGTGCCGGTTCGTGCCCTGGCTGCTCCACTTCAGATCCAGCTCCTTGCTAATGTGCCTGGGAAAGCAGCAGAGGATGGCCCACGTGCTTAGGTCCAGCCTCTGCCATTGCAGTCATTTGAGTAGTGAACCAGCAGATGGAAGATCTCTCCCTTCCTCTCTGTAACTCTGCCTCTAAAAATAAATAAAATAAATCTTTAAACAAAACAGTAACTATGTTAATGCATATTAGCAAAAACTGGTCATAAGCACCTCTCATGTATCTTGTCAACGGTAACTTGTAATTTTGCATATCCTGACAATTTAAAGGGAAGTACTGAACAGCAGTATGGATGGGAAGGAGGAATTCCATGCAACAGTACAGGCAGCCTCACCCGGAAGTGAGCACACGTTTACGAAGGCCCATCACAGCCAGGTGTGCAGAGCCGGGCTGTCCTACGCAACCTGCACAGGAAACTCGGCCGCCACAAGGGAGACCTTACCCTCAGGCTGCTGTGCCCAGTAACCAGGCTCGGCCCAAGCAGTCCCTTGTTAGCAGTGCGAGCCTGGGGACCCTACAGGTCACCCACTCACTTCTGCTGCTAGTGACCTCCAGCCCGAGTCCAGCAGCTTCCTCAAGTCCAAAGGTCCTTTAGCGTTTTCTCCTACTGCTAAAACGTGGTCCTCAAAGCGGGCTGCCCCCGAGAATGCCAGGGGAGGCTGTTTCAATTCCTGAGGCCTAGGACATAAATCAGCCTCCGGAACTGCAATCCACGCATCGCTATTGCCTCAACCCCCACCCCACTCCCCCCCCGCCACACACACACAAATTCCAGTGCGGGGCCACTGAACTGGAACCTCGCAGCTCTCTCGCGCTTCCCTCCGCCTCGCTGATCTCGCTCCCTCGCACCGCAGCTCACGCCTGCACTCGGTGTGCACGCAGCTAGCGGACACCAGGCGGGCTCCGAGGGGCCGCAGGGCAGCGGGCGGGGCTGCACCGGGAGGCTCCGCTCTCCCCGCAGCGCTCACCTTCTGGTCTGAATTGGGCCCCGCCTGGCGGAACACCCCGGAGCCGTAGGCAAAAGCCAGGCTCAGCTCGTCGGGGAAGTGAGACAGGATCTTTCGGAAGGCCACCCCCGAGCTCCGCAGCGCCTGCAGCGCCATGGGAGCCAGGCTCGCAGGCGGGAGGCCCAAGGCTGCAGGGCGGAGGCCGGGGCAGCGGGCGAGGCACCGGGAAGTGGACGCCCGAGTGGGAGCAAGGCTGAGCAGGGGGACGCCGGGGAGGGGACCGCCCGGGACCACACGGCCGCGCAGGCTTCAGGAGCAACGCCCAGCAGGTGCAGGCGCGCCAGGCTCGGTGAGCGGCACGGTCGCCGCCTGCGCAGCCTCCGCCCCTCGCCCCGCCCCTCGTGCGCACCCGCGTCTCCAAGACGCCAGAGACGGCGCTCGCCGGCTCGCGGAGACGCGAGTGCTTTGCAGCGCCCCCTGGTGGTCGGAGGAGCGCGCTGTCGGCTGAGCCCAGGACGGCGCCCTGGACGGACGGGAGAGTCCACCCAAACCGGACTGCCTTTACCCCTTGAGAATCCTTTGTCGTTCTCTCCTCAAATCACAGTTTAGAAAATCCATAATGTCATGCGTGTGTACCGCGTAAAACTTTTATTAACGAAGTGCAGCTCACACCACGTAGAATCCACCCTAATAAAGTGTACATTTCAGCAGCATTTAGTGCATTCATCGACTCTATCTAGTTTCGGAACTGCAGAAGATTTAAAAAGTTCAGAGCAACACAGACAAAACCAACAGCCTTCTCAGCTCCTCCCTCTGGAATCACCACTGTCAGACTGGCTGTCATTTTTCCCCATTAAAGCCCTTTTCAAATCCCGAGATGGACTTCAAGGTGCCTATTCAGTGGTAAAGAAAGAGTGCACCCCCCACCCCCCCGGGAGTTGTTTGTGTCTGCTTTTAGGGTGAGGAAGAGGCTTTGTCCCTTTGCCGTGGGATTGGAGGAAACAGAACCTGAGCATAGAGGACAATCCAAGCACGCTGCAGCTCACCTGTGGCTAGAATCTTGCTTGAGATCACGAGGCCACTCACGGCACAGTCTGACGTCTAGGATGGAGGTGCTCAGCCTCGTGAAAACAACAGGAGGAGTGAAATCCGCACCGAGGGACCGCTGTGGACACTGGAGTCCCTGCTGGGCCCTGTGCAAGGAGGTCATGCTACCATTCTGCAGAAGCAGCAGCTGAGGCCACGTCAGCCTGTGGCAAGACTGGAGTTAAAACCCAGGTCTGGCCCCCCCTCTAGAGTTCCTGCTACAGCTCTCTGTGCTTCGAGGGTGCTGAGCAGGGACCTGCTGGGGTCAGAGTGGACTTGGATTGGTGTGGGGAGGAAAGAGGCTGGGAGACCGTTTAGGAAGCTACACTGTTCCACCGTGAGCAGAAAACAGCCAGGCAAGGGTGAAACCAATTCAGTGTTGTTTGAATCCACACTCGGGGTCCAGCACTCACGGAGGTGCCGAGAATTTTTAGGTGAAGGAACTCAGAGTTGCTGCCTTGCAGAAGCGCGGAGTCAGTCTGTGGATGAGACGCGCAAGCAAATAAGAATACAAGGTGCAGTGGTGAAGCAGGGCACCCGGCCCCTCCAGGAGAGAGCATTACTCAGTCCCGGGGGTGCAGAGGAGAGACCAGAAGTGGAGTCACAAGGGTGGCCCTTTCAGCCATCCCTGGAAGGTGGGAGCGAGTTGTCAGACACATGAATGCATGGGAGAAATTCTTCCAAAAACGAGCTGGTGGTACTCAGTGACAACAATAATCATATGAGGTACCTCGACAAGTGAGTGGGCATTGGGCACAGCGGGCAGCATGCTGCTTGGGATGCCCACATCCCACATCAGTGTCTGGGTTTGAGATTCAGCTGCTGTTCAGGCTCCGGCTTCTTGCTAATGCACATGTTGAGAGGCAGGTAGTGATGGATGAAGCTACTGAAACCTTGTACCCACGTGGGAGACCCGGGCTGAGCCCCTGGCTCCAGGCCCAGCCTTGACTGTTGCAGGCCTTTAGGGGGAGAACCAGCAGATGAAAGATCTCTCTCTCTCTCTCTCTTATTGTCTTGCAAATAAAAAATTAGAATAAATAATTTAAATCTTGCACCAAAAATAAGTTTATCTTTTAATCCCATTTCCACAAACTTTTTGAAGTTCCCTTGTGGGGTCATTTATTAAATGCCCACACACTTTTTATACTTAGCTCTCTCCCAAAGTCCCTGTGAGGCAGCTTCTCTAAGAGGACCATCATTTTTCACACGAGGAAACAGAGGCCTTAAGAGGAAAAGCAGTTGGCCAGAAGTCGCGTGGTTAGGAGAGTGTTGGAACGGGACTGTACTCAGGGCTGGCTGACTCCAGAGAACAAGGTCATGGCCACCGAGTATAAGAGGCGAGAGAGGGAAATGGGGAATAGACTGGAGCTGACTCACCAGCCAAGATTAAGGGAAGCGATAGCCAAGGATACCAAAGATGACCGGAGAGGGAGCAGAAGACAGATACCGTGGGGCGCAGCCGGCCGGTGTGAGTGGGCCGCTTGGGTTCGTGCTCACGGAATGCCACCCTGATTCAGAAGGCTGGAACCCAGAGTTCTCTCACCGTGGAACCCACTCTGGCCTTTCACCCCAAAACGTGCATAAACTCCATCTGCTGCCGTTTCTTTTTTATCGTCTTTCTTCCCTTGAGGAAGTCATCCAACTCTGCTGGTTTTATTTCCTGTTTGTAAAAGTAACCCATGCTCTCAAAATGTAATATCGCCCCGCAGAGACAGCTACTGGCACCCTTTGATACCTATTCCTGCCGGTATTTTTCTTTCTTTTTTTTAACAAGAACCTTTTTTTTAAATTTTTATTTATTTTATTTATTTTTTGACAGGCAGAGTGGACAGTGAGAGAGAGAGAGACAGAGAGAAAGGTCTTCCTTTGCCATTGGTTCACCCTTTAGTGGCCGCTGCGGCTGGCGCACCGCGCTGATCCGATGGCAGAAGCCAGGTGCTTCTCCTGGTCTCCCATGGGGTGCAGGGCCCAAGCACTTGGGCCATCCTCCACTGCCCTCCCTGGCCACAGCAGAGAGCTAGCCTGGAAGAGGGGCAACCGGGACGGAATCTGCCTGCCGGTATTTTTCTATGACTATGAAACATTTTGAAATGGAGCCACGTAATAGCTCCTGTCTGGCTCCTTGCCTTTCCCCCACTTGACATATTAGAATGTCTAGGTGAGCTGACATTGTTCTGTGTCAGGATAGGTAGATCTACCTTAATCTATAGTCCTGCTATGCCACAGTGCCATCCCCAGTCTTATCCTATTTGTAAACAGCAAACGATTCCAAATATGCATGTGTCCTAATTTGTTTAAATGCTTTCATCTGTGAAAGTGTGGATTCTTCTATTTTCCACATGTGCAGACAGGCTACAGAACATCTGAGTGCATATACCTTTTCATACGCGTGCAAGTATTGCTGTAAGATTGATTGCTAGAGAGGCTGGGGCTGGGGCTTAGCTGATTAAGCCTCTGTCTGCAGTGTCAGCATCCCACATGGGCACCGGTTCGAGTCCCGTCTGCTCCACTTCCAATCCAGCTCCCTGCTAATACGCCTGGGAAAGCAGAAGAAGATGGCCCAAGTATTTAGGCTCCTGCACTCACGTGGGAGACTGGGATGAAGCTTCTGGCTGCAGGCTTCAACCTGACCCAGCCCTAGCCATTGCAGCCATTTTGGGAATGAACCAATGGATGGTCTCTCCCTCTCTCTGTAACTCTGCCCTTCAAATAAATAAAATAAAGCTTTAAAAAAAAAAAAAAGCCCGACTGATTGGTAGAGTGGAATGTTTGTGTCAAAGTGTCAGCACTTTGCTAAATTCCCTTCCAAAAGATTGTAGCCATCCACACACCCACTCACCGGGCTGAGCCCTTGATATAAATAAGGAGTCTGCGACGTTTCTCCGTTTGTCTCCCTTCTGGCTTTCATGGCTGATTATCAGTAATTTTCTTTTTCGCCAGCATTTCCCTCTGACAGTGCAGAGCCGCAGCTGGGAGGCTCCATCGCGCTCCTGTGTGCGTTCTGCCTGTCCCCAGGGAGAGGCAGAAGCAGTGCTTGGGAAGGCATTTGCATTCCTCAGCAGACCCCTCCAGGCCCCTCTCCATTCATCCGCTCTCTGTGACGGTACGCGGCTACTAAGTCAGAAGCTATCAAAGAGCCCCAGTGTTCCACAGGCTCGCCCGAGAGTTCAGCTAGAAAGCTCAGACCAAGGGAATCAAAATGTCAGCACACCACTTGTAGATACAGATAACGGCACCTGGTCTGTGTGCGGGTTGGGCCTCATTCTTCTGGCTTCTCTATCAGTCATCTCGGGTTAGCAATGACCTTGCTGGCCGGTTTCACTAGCAGAAGGTGCGCCCTCGTCCGTTTTGGGACAAGCTCCTGCGTGAAGGATCTGTAACTGTGAGGCCCTGGCTCCTCTTCTCATCTGTGTTTAAATAACAACAGAGAAGTGAGAAGCAGTTCGGCTGTTGTGCTTCTTAGGTTCGATGTATCTGCTGACGGAGGAGAAGGGCTCTGATCTCCGTCTTGTTAGAGGAGGGTCACCCTGTCACACATCTGTCCTCCGATGATTGACATGTCACAACTGGCACAGATTGAGAACATCTTTTTTTTAAATTTTTTAAAATTTAGTTATTTGACAGGTAGAGTTATAGATAGTGAGAGAGAGACAGAAAGGTCTTCCTTCTGTTGGTTCACACACACCCCCAATGGCTGCTATGGCAAGAACTACGCCAATCTGAAGCCAGGAGCCAGGTGCTTCCTCCTGGTCTTCCATGTGGGTGCAGGGCCAAGCACTTGGGCCATCCTCCACTGCCTTCCTGGGCCACAGCAGAGAGCTGGACTAGAAGAGGAGCAACTGGGACTAGAACCCGGCACCCATATGAGATGCCGGCTCTGCAGGTGGAGGATTAACCAAGTGGGCCATGGCACCGGCCCCGAGAACACCTTAAAGATAGGTTAGAAACCAGGTGCCAGGATTTCACAGCTGTGTTCCCTTGGACAACTTAACCTCTCTGTGCCTTCTTTTCCTCATTTAAAAGATTATTTTATTTATTTGAAAATAAATGCATGTACTCTTTTATAAAAAGATTGATTTATTTATTTGAAAGTCAGAGCTATAGAGAAAGAGAAGCAGAGACAGAGAGGGAGAGAGAGAGAGAGAGAGAGAATTTTCCATCAGCTGGCTTACTCCCCCAAATGGCCGCAATAGCCAGGGCTGGGCCGGCTG